TAGGATTTGTCCCTAAATGATAAGTAAAACAGTTTATTGTTTTATAATAAACACATCTTTAGGTCACTAAATTCAAGCATTATGACTGTATAAATAACTGAACAGAAAGACCTGTTTGCTGCAAACAAGAATTATCTTTGTGGATTACAGCCAGTCTAGCTAGATTTAGATGACACCACCTCTTATTCCAGTGCACACAGAGCTGGAAATCTGTTACAGATGTTAGAGATTCTTTGTTTTTATTTTCTAAAGAATCCTTATCTCAAATTAAAATGGGATCATTTCAGGCCAGCAATTTTTAGCCTTTTTTTTTTGTTTAATTTGCTAACTGCTGCCAGGTTTTTAAAGGAGATGCAGACTATTAGACAAACTTATCTGCAGCTGGTTTTCAAACAGTGTTCGGAACATTGGCTGAAAAACATATTTTGTGGGGCAATGCCACTACCCTTTTGTTTGTATGAAACAAGGAGTTCCTTTCTGAGCGCTGAAATGCTTGATATACAGGTTGGGCTATGTGCGAACCCTGTGAAGTTCAACAAGGACAAGTGTGGGGTCCTGCACATGGGTCAGGGCAATACCAAGCACAAATCCAGGCTGGGTGGAGAATGTACGGAGAGCAGCCCTGAGGAGAAGGATGTGGGGCTGTTGGTGGGTGAGAAGCTCACCATGAGGCAGCAACGTGCGATCGCAGCCAAGAAAGCCCCCAGCATCCCGGGCTGCGTCCCCAGCAGCGTGGCCAGCAGAGTGAGGGAGGGGATTCTGCCCCTCTGCTCCGCTCTGGGGAGACCCCCCTGCAGTGCTGCCTCTGGTTCTGGAGCCACCAACAGCAGAAGGACACGGAGCTGTTGGAGCAGGGCCAGAGGAGGCCCTGGAGATGCTGCAAGGGAGGGAGTTGTCCTCTCTCTGGGAGGACAGGCTGGGAGAGTTGGGGGGGTTCAGCCTCGAGAAGAGAAGGCTCTGGGGAGACCTTCGAGCCCCTTCCAGTGCCTAAAGGGGCTCCAGGAAAGCTGGGGAAGGACTCTTGATCAGGGAGGGGAGCGATAGGATGAGGGGGAACGGTTTTAAACTGAAAGAGGGTGGATTTAGATTAGATATCGGAAAGCAATTCTTGACTGTGCGGGTGGTGAGCCCCTGGCACAGGTTGCCCCGAGAAGCTGTGGCTGCCCCATCCCTGGAGGTGTTCAAGGCCAGGTTGGACGGGGCTTGGAGCAACCTGGGCTGGTGGGAGGGGTCCCTGCCCAGGGCAGGGGGGTTGGAACAAGATGGTCTTTAAGGTCCCTTCCAACCTAAACCATTCTGTGATTCTATTATTCCATTCCTATGTTTAAATGACTTTCAGAGAAAAGAGCCTGCTGAGTGAAGGTACATATTGAATTATTGCTGAATACACTGAATATCATAATCTTTGCTTAAGCATATAGGCAACAGTAATTTAATTGCTTTGGGGACAGTTGAACTTTCAAAAACCTGCAGGGTTTTTTTTACCTTCTGCAGCTCCCCTCACTTGAGACAAATACTAGGATCTGCTCTAATACGGAACTAGTTGTTTTCTAATTGTGTCTTTTGTCTCTTTCAATTTCTAGAAATCACTAACCCCATCTCATTCCTGTGATACGCTTGAGAATTGGTTCTATGATGAATCTTCACGAAGCTGCTGTTACCAGTGTCCCTCAGGTCAGTATGTTTATAATTTAGTCCAATTAACATGGAGCCTTAGTTGTAGAGATAGTAGGAACCATGTGTATCTGCAGAATTGCATTTTGTCCCTGAAGAAAAGTGCAATTTCATGAATCGCTGTTTAGTGTGGATCCAGAAGTGAACTTGTTCACCACTGTTCTGCTCCTGTTCAGTCTGCATGCAAACAATCTGTAAATTGCTAACTAGATAACTTACTAGAATTTTTAATGTGTTTTTTATCACTTGACACTCTGAAGTAGTTAGAAGTAGGCAGGTCTAAGAATTCATTTCAGCTTACCTCAGAGTGTGAAATAGCACAGTGAAATTAGGCTAAGTAAGTTTCTGATCAGAGACAAAAAAAATAAAATGATGCTGTGGAAAATCTGTCATTATCCTCATAGTCAAAACAGTTTAGAAAGCATCTCACATGAGAAAGGGAACAGCCCCTTGTCAGGGGACACAGTGAGCTTTGCTGGAAGCTAGTTGTGACTCAGAGGCATATGAGGTCAGGAGCAGGAAACACCTTGGTGAGACAAGAGTTCTGGAAATGTCTGAAACTCCCCCTATTGGCCAAAAACCCCCTCAGTGGGTGGGGCATTTTATGGTACTTCACCATCATCAATATCTTCTTAAATAAGTGTTTTCTTCTTTTTTTTTTTTTTTAAAAGGAAATTTTTGACATTTATTTGTGCTCTGCTAATAAAGAGGGGTTTAACGCGTGGTTGCTAGCATTTGCATGCAGTTACATCAGGGTTCCCACTGCGACATCTTGTGCTGCTGGCCACACCACTAGAATCATTCAGAAGTTGTATAAGTAAACAAGACCAAGGGATGGAAAAACAAGTCTTGTAAAAGAAGAAAAGGAGTGGGGATCTTACTCTGAGCCAGTCCCAAGAATAGCTCTTTTCTCCTTCAAAACCATACTTTGCAAAAGCTCCCATAATGACAGGTGTCACAGTGAGGTCTTGTGAAAAGCAGAGATCTGATTTACATCTGGCTGTAATGAGCCACCAGTCTCAATCATTTCACCTCAGCTTCTTCTTGAAACTCATTTTGTTACCACATCCTCATGTCAGTCTTGGACATCTCTTCACATCCTCCAGGGCCTCCTTCACAACAGAAACTCATAAGAATCCTTTTTCATTTTAGTCTCCCACTACTCCTTCAAGCAGTAACCTATTCATATCTGCTACTAACTCAACTGCTCACTGCAAAGAAAGAGAAGCTTTTCTAAAATTCCATGTAATCAAAGTGGAGCATCTCGAACTCTTGATGCAGCCTGGCCTTTACTTTCCTTGGTGGTCCAGCCCACAGATGTACAGCTTTCAGTATGAGCACAGCGGCTCACATGCAAGCCATCCTCTGTTTCAAAGTTAATTTCAAGTTCAATTTCAAGATAAACTTAAAACCAAACCTCAAAAGATCATCCTAATAAATTTCTACAGTTGCCACATCTCTTCTCATGTACTTAAGTCTTGTGCAGGTAAAATAAGAATTGATACCTGGGATACCAGAAGAGTATTTTCTTTCTGTCATCAGAGAACAAAATAGTTCCCTCCTGTCAAGGGGAGAAACAGACTTTCATGGGAAATAATGGTATATGCTAGAACAGCTCATGTTTTGCAGAAGTTGGTATTCCACTTCAGTTCTGTTTATTCTCTTTATGGGTTTTTTTTTTTGTTTGTTTGGCTGTTGTTTTGTTTAGACTCTAAACCAGATACCCAGCTCCACAAGATAGTGCTGCAGTCAACAGTCAAGATAATTTCCCACCCACAGTTAACAGCAAATCTTCAGGAGTGAATGAACGCACATACTGACAAAAGAAAAACACTTAAAACACTTACTTCATCTACTTACTGTCAGTACATTTTTCTGTACAGGGGATTGCAGCTGGTATTCCTACTGCTCAGGCTCTGGTTGTTGAGCTATGAAGACAATCAGTGGAGAGCAGCACCAGAAGACACTGTTAGGCAAGCGTCAAAGCTATTGCACCGGGGCACACATCCCCCAAGGAAGGGACCCATGTGTACAGGAAATCTCAAATAACTGAAGTTAGAGCTTTTGGGTCGTTGGATGAGGAAGGAGAAAATGACACACACTTGCAGGTACACACGTGCAGCTTGAGTGCTGAGATTCAGCAGTCGGCCCCGGCCTTGAAAAGAATAGTCCAAGACAAGTAGATTTGAGGAGGTGGGAGTGATGTGGGTCAGGCTTGTCTGGTGGTATTTAGTGGGCCAAATATAGCACAGCTGTTTTTACCTGCACTCCAACATCAGGCTTGCCAAAATGAGGTGAGTTACTTCCCTGCCAGGTTCCGGCTCCCTGTGGTTGATTCTGTGATTGGGTGATGCAGGCTGAATGCTGAAACTGGGATTCTTTTCTCTCCTTTTGTTTTCCACCTGTGAAACACTTAACTCTGCCTATCTTTATGTTGCTGCTTTAGCTTTTACTTTTACTTCTGCAACTTACCCCCCGGTAGTTACTTCCACCTCCTGGCAAAGCCACAAGGTCACAGCTGACCACTGCACCTCTCCTTTCTTTGGCACTATGGCCAGTGGTAGAATTCCCCGTCTGTTGCTTCAGGAGCTGAAACATTAGGAATTCTTCTGTCCCAGCCTTTCCCATACTCCTAGCTAGTTATTGTACCTAGCTTGCCAGACGGATCCTTTTAAAACCTTGTCACTAGAAAATGATTACTGGACGTAAACACAGAGTCATAGAATAGGTTAAGTTTGGCAAAGACCTCCAGAGGTCATCTAATTCAGCCAGCTGCTCAACTTCACGCATGCTGCATATATACAGGTCCACAAAATCCAGGGTAGCATGCTTTCAAACTGTGAGTGATGAGTACAGGGGAGTTGGAAGTGTTGAGCAGAGAAAGTGTGTAGCATATACATCCAGCATCAGAAAAACGTACATTTGTAATTTGATTTGTTAAAGGAAAGCAATTGGAAAATGAAACCATCTCACAACTGTCAAGGCAACTGTACAACTAGCAGGACTGCTCAGAAAGCAACCTCCTGCAACCCTGCTGGGCTATGTAGGGCACAGCTCAAGGAGCACCATCCTGTAACCTCGCAGTCTGAACATGGGAGATGGGGCATGAATCCATGCACCTAGGAGATTCTGGCAGCTTTTGAAAGGAAAAGTGATGCCTTAGGTAGCAAACTACCAGGACTCGGTTGCTATAGTCAAGAAGAAAACATGAAAACCAATTGCCTGGGAACTTAGTACTGGCAGGACAGTATTGCCCTCACTACAGACTTGGCGGTCTTTTCTAACTGTCAGCAAGTGACTTGCCACATGCCCATTCTGCAGCAGTCCATACTGACTGTGATAATACCGTGCACAGTGCTGCTGTAACAGGACAGCTGTGATCCCTTCACACTTGAATGGGAAAGGCAAAAATGTGCTAGAGAAACCAAAGGACAGGTACAAAGAGAAGACTGGGCTCGTGTGCCTAACAGGTAAATGAGCATACAAGAACACTTCAGAATGGTTGTCTCCTGTGATTCTGAACAGGTATCCTGCATATTTTGATTTTCTTTCTCCAGGCTATGTTAAAAAGAAAGCATGTCCTAGGGACCCAGATGAAGACTGCATGAGATGTGGACCTGAACAATATGTGAATGAAGCATCTCAAAAACCACGATGTGACGCTTGTGTATCATGCGCAAAAGGTTTGCTTTCCTTCACACATGCCTCACAGTAATATTCTCTCTATATATTTTATTTGTACTTTATTTCTATATATATTTATATTTTATTAATTTAGAATTTCCAGCAGCACAATTATCCATCCTTGGTTACTGATTTAGAGAGCCGAATGCTACCTTGCGCATAATCAGAGTTGCTTCCTGTGTGACCTGGGACTTCCTAAAAATTCTCTCATCCGATGCTATCCAAGTCTGATCTCTGCTTTCTGTCTTATATTACAAGCCATTGTCTACAAGTTTCCCCAAATATTCATGACTTAAGTTGCCGTCACGAAGGGTGCCGGCAGCCTGTTCTGCTTCCTGAGCCTTTGAACTGGTGTTGCTCAGCTTTGGCCCCTGCTTCGTGTTTTCCTCGCAGGGTGATCCTTTGTTCCTGCATCTGTTTCTTCCCCTCAGAGTCTGACCTTGTGGAGAAAGAGCCCTGCTCCTTCAATTCTAGCCGCGTGTGTGAGTGCCGCCCAGGCCTTTTCTGTCAAACCCCTGTTGTGAACACCTGCATGCGATGCCAGAAGCACACTGTTTGCAAGCCTGGTTTTGGGGTTAAAGTCAGAGGTAGGAATTCCCGCCTGCCTGGCTTACCTTTTCTGATCTTGGCCATAGGCCTGGACCAGGTGCCTTTTGGTTGGTCTGTCCTCAGTCATTATTTTTATTCAGGCACCTCGACAACTGATGTTACTTGTGAAAAGTGCCCTGCTGGGACCTTCTCTGATCAAAATTCCAGCACTGACATCTGCAAGCCCCACACAAAGTAAGTCCATACTTCTTTCAAGTGACTTACCAGTTAGTTAAACTTAATAAAGGACAAAAAGGGACACCTGTCACTTCTGGTGTAAAGTATACAAATTCATCTTGGAGGCAACAGGATAGTTTTGGGCCTATGTGCAGAGTTTAGAAGGCCTCTCTTTATACTTCTTGCACAGCTCTGTACTGGAGGAAGGAAGGAATCCCTCTTGCCTCATTTTTAGTTTATTGAGTACAGTGGAATTATACGCGCCTGTGAGTATCGGGTTTGCATACAGGTCAAGAATTAATGCCACCAGGGGTGAGAAGAAGTTTAATGACTTTTTCACTTAAAGCAATAAATGCAGGTGGTACAAAAATGACTAAAGGGATGGTTGTCACATGGAAAATACTCTTATCTTGTACCATGGCAGTTTCCTCTGTCACTGATACGCTGTTCTCTTTCATTCCCTAGCTGTGCCGAGTTAAACAAAGTAGCACTAAGCAAAGGAAATGCCACACATGATCAGGTTTGCCTGGACCAATTGCCCACCTACCTCACCCCAAGCACTTTGTCCATGAGATTCAGCGATGAAACAAATCACTCTGAGCTAAGGAGGTTTGAGGAGAACCTGGTGACCATTGCTAGTATCCTTCTAAGCGCCGGAACAACTGAAAACCCCAGTTCAACTCATGAGGAGACAGCTGTGACTGGCACTTCTCCTACGTCGGCCAAGGGGGAGACAACAATAGGAGGTAACAAAGATAAAACATTTAGTCTGTCTAGCCTGTTTTATTTGGATAGAACTTTGGTAAATGAAATTTTTCTGTGGGAGCTTCCTGCAAATCCCCTGCAATTTGTGAAATGTTGTCCATGGTTCTATGTCCAAACACAGAGATCTACTAATAGTTCCCCCTCTGCCTTTTCGTAGCCTTTCCTGTACTTCCTTTCCCTTTCTGTGCTATAGGTCTAGTTCTTTGGGGAGTGGTTCTCTCTGTGATAGTGCTTCTTGTGGGCATGCTGTTATTTTGGAAAAGGAAGGTTTGCAAGAAGCGGATCCTCATCCTCAAAGGAAAGCGTGAGTTTTTAAAGCTGTAATACATAGCATGCCGTTTGATCTCCCAAGTATATGCCAACTGGGAACTCAAATATCTCCAAATTTTGTGGAGGTCATTGGGGAAGAGAATGTTCGCTGCTGCCTGGTGGAGGTGGGCCAGATAAGGGTTCTAGGCAAACTGGTTGTGCAGCGTGGTAGAGAACATGAGAGAAAGATTGAAGCAGCTGTGAATTTATGGAGGTAGATAGTACAAGCTGGGTGGGGAAACGGTAACCAGTGGTTTCTTCTCTCATCACAGACACTAATATTAAATGATATCTGAAGTGTTTTGGGAGTATTTGTTGGTTCCTGGGATAGAGTTGGACTTTGAGCATGAAAGAAAGAGTAATTTTTACTGATGGTGAATCTCTTCAGCTTCACCTAGAATTACATGTGGGGTGCACCTGTGGAACCACATTCCCTCTTTTATAGAAAGCAGGTCGTGCCTGTTGTAGGTTGGTTGTAGACCTGTGGGTGTAGTAAAGCTGTTAGAGCCTGTATGCTCCACAATGAGTTTTACTAAATGAATGGTTTCTTTTATCAGCACATCTGCATTCCGTCATTTCACACAAACCCAGGCTCAAATCTCAAGGTAAGTGACTGATGGACCAGGAACTGTAATCCATATGTCTAAAGAATAAGTGGATAGTTTTAATATGGAACTTTATTTTATGGAATTTTAGTTTAAAACGTGGAAGTTTTTAATGTCAAATGTTTTTCTTTGCTGACATGCAAAAGACCAGTCTTGTTGGCTGCCATGCACAGGCAGGTGACGCTCTGGATGTCACAAGCCACTAGATGGCACTTTTTTCCCACTGCAGCCGAATGGCTGGGCCATGTGTCAGTGTGTCATGGAGGCTTTACTGGAACAACGCCCAATTAATTTCTGGGCACTCAAATGTGGGAGATATGTTCTGAAAAAAGTGGGTGTTAGCCATAGCAACCTGTACAGATCCTCCAGAGTACACGTTTTGCTAAATTAACGAATCCCCTCTCAGCACTTCCATTGATTGATCTGTTCTCTTCTGTTGGGTTAGATTCTCCGAATCACCGCACATCAGAGCTTTTTCTACTCGTTTATTCAAAAATACAATTTAAAACCTCTTGTGTGCACCTTAATTTTCTCAAAATGGAATTTTTGCTTCCTCACTTGCCTTACACAATAGAAACTGTTACTGTGCAGCATTATTGAGCTGAATCACTGAAAATAAAGATGTCTGCAAGTGAGGGTGAAATCGTATAGTAGGCCTGAGCCCATCTAGCTTCATGGAACAGCAGAAGGATGCTGTACACTCCCTTCTTCCCACCTCTTTTCTTTCCCCGGTGTTCCCTTCCTCCATCCTTGCATAAAATCCCATCCCCTTAATATTCAGCTGACTACATGATGAACCAGTCCAACTTGTTAATTCAGTAGAAAGTTATTAACTTTTATTTTTTAACTTTTTTTTAATAAGTCTGTCTTCCGCTTATCTAGAAATTTTAATCGGTTCATCATTTCATTAGATGAATATCAGTTGTGGTGTGGGGAGAATGATAGGGATGGCCACAAAGTGCTGTGGGGAGAGCAGGACCTCACAGTGTTGGCAGGAATATGTTGCTGGTTTGCCTTAGCCATGTCATGTAAGTGTGCCCTCAGTGGTAGAGAAAGCATAGTGCAGGTGGGTTAGGCAGTAGAGTAGTTTAGGACATGGCTAGGTGATATTTCAGAGCAAATATTAACGTTCTTGTGATTGCTGTGAATTTTCTTCTGATAATTTTTCCTCTTTCCATTGCAGGTTCTGATCTAGTGAACAAATGTGCAGTAAGTGTGAACAGTATTCTAAAACAGATCACTTTCCATTCCAATGTAAATAATGATATTTTTAAATGCCCAGTTAAAGAGTGCCAGCCTTTTTGTTTGGCCTTTCCTCTAGGATTAGTGATGGTACAGCAATGAGACTTGCTACTTTTGTGTCCTGGGCTATGTTTAATATGGTGTTAATGTGATGCTGCCAGTCTTGCTTGTGGAAGGAGTATTTGGTTTAGTCTTATGTCATTTGTGTTGCATTCTATGGGACAAGATCCAAAATCACAGGACGAGCATGACTTTTCTACCTTCTGGGAGAACTTTGTCTGTCAGTCCCATCTTATCTTACTCCTTCAGTCGCACAAGTGGGATTTGTAGTCATCTTCTGTCTCCCTGCATGTCGCCTCCCCTCTTTGCAGATGACTATAGGTACACAGTGGGTATTGTTTGTCTGGAAGACCTTCCATCAGGACCAGCTTCTGGTGTAACAGTATAGTTTGCAGATGAACAAGAGAAATATCAGTCAATCTGGTAAAACAGATCCTCAGCTGCTGAAATAATCACAGCTCTGTTTGATTCTCCCACTTCCAGTGATATTACAGAAACTTTTGTCCTCTGTGTCTTTTCAGTTTATTAGGCTTATCTTTAAATGTCCATATCTGCTAAAACACTCTTTAGACTGTTCCCTTTTTTTCTGAAAATCAGTTTACTTTAAAATGTTGTACATCTGCACATATATAAGATAGTACTTATTCTAGTAAATCTGGTTGCGATCAGCTATCATAATTTCAGTGTGACATTGCTAATTCTTGAGTTGTAGGGAGCTTCCTCTCTTGCTTTCATAGAGAGTCAGACATAAGCAAGAGTTTTAAATTGCAAATTTAAAAATCTTACTATGTTGGGTTTGTTTTTTTTTTTCTTTTCCAACCTTGTGGAAACAGAAACAGAGCTAGGAACCATCAGAAATTTGTGATGCAGGACCTTTAGCCTCTCCCTGGGTCTGGCTCCTCTTTTAAAGGACTGTTTGTAATCAATTCTCCATATAATAGCTACTCTGAGCTTGTTTCTCCTGCTTCTGAGGTTCTGCTGAGGCAACTCTGGCTTGTTTTGTTCTTCCATAGGAACATGGTAGGTCTTTGCAAAATCTAAGAGGAAGTTAAACTATGTATTTTCAGTTTTAACTGTTTGACTCTCTCACTGTAGGACTACACATCTGTACAGGTTTGTCCTCTGATACTTATCTCACAACTAAATATGAAAAATATCTTCTTAAAGTCCTTTCTGAGCAAATCCCTTAAAACTTGTCTCCAGCATCTGTCTTTCTTACTGATGTTATACTCTTTGCTGAAAAGTGCTATTGAGCTTGAGCCCCCCAGAACGCAGCTGCTACTGTGTTACAGGATAGCGGCCTCTGCAGCAGAGCATATGGTCTAAGACTTGTGGCGAAGTGTCAAAATGACAAATAGGTGGATTTACAAAAGTTCATCGGCATCTAAATTGCAGACAAGGCAGTGGACTTTACTAAAGCATCCAAGCAGGTCCGGGAAACTGGATTTCAGTGGAAGTGAGGTATTCTTGAAAATGTCATCAAAAATCTGTGAATTTAGCTTAGAAACACTGTTTTTAAATATGGCCTTAAGTGATGCAGGAGCCTACTTCAAAGAAACTTAAGTTCCCATGTCAGTTAGGCGCTTTGGAATTTTTTAATCCCTGTGACAGTGGTGCTGTGAAGTACATTATGTTATTCTGACTGCCACGGAAGGATTGTGTAGACCTATTGCAGTCTTCACAGTGTTGTTTTTACATTCACTCCACTTCTACTCTCCTCTTTGTATTGGCAGAAGATCATACTGACTACTGACAGTGGGCCAGAAGAGAAGGAGTTAATTGACAGGACTGTCCCTTTGGAAACCAACAATAACTTGGTCTCCAGTACAGAAAAATCATACAGTCCTGATCTGAGTCTGACTGATGTGACACAGTGCAATGGAAATGCCCCAGATTGCCCTGTCGATTCTCGAGTGAGAGACCACACAAATAATCGAATTGGTGAGTCTTGCTTCTCTTCTTTTTTCCTCTTACCTTTTCAGTTTTTCAACTATGAGCACATAATGTCATTCTGAGATTATTAGTAAGCTGCAAAGTGTCCAAAGCTTCTAACAAAGATAGCTGAATCTCCAGAACCTTTGACACACAAATTCTGGTATATCTATTCATTTGAATGTAATGCTTTCTTTTTTTCACGTTTGCCTTAGTCACTTATGAACCTGACAGAAAAAATGCTTTGCTCTTCTTCCTCTTTTTTGTTTCAGAAGATGTAAATTTGCAGAAGAAGTTTGAAATCCAAAATATATCAGCTGGAAAATGATGCTCTAATACTTAATGAGAGTTGTACTTCACGTATCTCAAGCTATCATTTTCTTCTCTTGGTTTCACAGTAATAGCTTGAAATTTGTCTCTCATAGGTTCCCATAAAGTCTTTGACCATGGCATAGTGTAGGGGATAAAGTCAGGCAAAGAAGCTTATTTGCACAGGGAAAATTGTTATCTGAGACACAGTCTACATGAGACATTCTGGCAATGTTTCCAAACCCAATTTTGAAGGCATTTGAAGGGGGCTTTTGGTATTAGTAGAGCTGACCTTTCCTTACTTAATGCCCTTTCTGTTTTTTCTGAGTGATGGACTTGGAATGAATGTGATGATTTGACTTAGCATACCGAAATATTTCTAAGCAACTGTGAACACTAACTTACAGTGTCTAATCCGCAGCATCCTTCTGAATAAAATGTAGTGGTCCAAACCATAGCAAAGGCCTTATTTACCTTTTGTAAAAGGGCAGAGTCAGCAAGTTGGACGCAAGATTCAAGTCTATCCCAGAAAATTTTGTAGTTGATTCTCTGCTGAAAATAAGCTAATTTCTTTGCTGGTCCTAAGACCAGATAATTACCCAGAATCTGTACAGTGCCGATCCTTGGTCAAAGGCTGCTTTTAATGCAGGTATTGTTGCTTCTTGAAACAGCGGGATCATGAGTCTTGGATTGTCCATATCTATCTTGCCCAGATCCCAGTTAATTGCTTCTTCTAACAGACTCTTGTCTTGCAGACTCTTACTGCATTTTCTAATCTGTCTTTCTCCTGTAGTCCTAGCTATAGTGCAGTGGCTTCATCACATGGAGCTAGATCTACTTGATCTAAAATGCCCAGAGTCCCTTTGACAGTGATCCAAAACCAGACAGTGTAGTATAAAATGTGCAGGCCTTCTTTATCACTTAGTATGTTCAGTGCTTTGATTTCAAAATTAAAAGCACCTTATAAAAAATGAAATAGACAACTTATAATGTGTGAATTCCAAAAACTTTCGTGGGTTAGTGAATTCTGTGTTTTTATGGTGATGGGCTTGATCTGCATGCCTCTGATTTAAAAAAGAACAAGGTGGGAAAAAGAAGAAAAAATGAGCACCAAATAAAAAATTGTGCATGGAAAGGAACCATCTTTAGGGTCAGCAATGACTGTTAACTACACTCAGCACTATTTTTTTCCTTCCTCAGAAAAAATATACATCATGAACGCCGACACAGTTATTGTGGGGTACGTTCCAGAAGTGCCTAGTGGCAAGAACTGTGCTGTTAGAGGATGTGAAAGTAGTGTTGATGCCCAGGAAAACACGGAAGAGGAACTGACAGTGCACTATCCAGAGCAGGAAACAGAGTCTTTTCCAGGGAATGATGTGATGGTTCCTGTGGAAGAGGAGGGGAAGGAATTTCATCACCCCACCGCTGCCACTGAAAAGTGGTAAACCCACTGAAAAGATGCGTGAAGAGACGGAAACATCCAGTGTTACACTAAGCCTGAATCTATGACAAGGGAGGTAAACACATAGTGCCTTAAATTATCTGGAAACTTGTGTAAAACACTGAAACAGATTCAGACAAGGAGTCCTAGAACCTATTCTATCTAACAAGTGAGAGGATCATCCAAACTGTTGGCCTTCATAGGTGGCGTCAAATATTTCTCTTTCCTTCTGTCTCTCAGTATCATTCTGGAAAGAAATTTGAATCAAAGCTACAAAATTCAGAGGACATCTGGATGCCAACTCAAGTTTCACAGCTTGCTTTCTCTGCATGAAGGAACGGATTGAAAACTGTTATCTGATTACTTCTATTGGCTATGAAACTTCTGGCCAGAACTCTGAGTTGAGCTCGAGACTCAGCCACGTTTCATATGTTGTTTCTATTCCAGTATTATCAGTACTTCCAATTTTGTCATATGTTTTGCAACATCTGGTAGTTTTCTTAAGGCCTCAACTCTTGACTGAAAGTAACAACAATTTCAGTTTACCCTAACACAAACAGAACTCTTCAGTTTGTGGACTTCATGTTTCTTGAGGAAATAGGATCAAAAGATGCCAAACAGGCTCAGAAAACAGAAAGCAAATAAAACTAATTGAAGTCCAGTGTTCTTTAGGCCATTCTTTCTAAGTTTTGAAGTCCGATTCATGTTTTTTGATTACTGCAAATCCTCAGTGAGTGAGCAAAATGGCCTCTTCTGATGGAAGGCAAACAGGCTGAACATTTGGATGTTGGATGAAGTATGGGTTTAGCCAAGTGTGGAGTCTGTAAGAAGGGAAAAAAAAGAAGATAAACTAGTTTTCTGTAAAAAGGAAGGACTGAAAAACAGGCACAGCAGTTATTTCCTATAACATTGTTAATATCTTCTTGGTTTAGAATTGCTCGTAGTCATCAGGGTGACACTGATTTGCATATCTGTTCTTTTAAAAAATCTGTTTTGTGGTCAACTGGCTTGTGTTATGTTATTTCTCAATCTTTTATGCTGCTTGTTTGATAACTGTAAATGTAATAGTGCTGACTATGTTTTTTGCACAGGACAATGGAAAATGAGCAAGATGACGAAGTGTGCCTTAATAGTCAAAAAAATGAACCACAAAAACAATGACTTGCTTCGTAGTTTTACCCTGGACAGAGTACTGTAAAAACAGCTGTGCAACTTCAGCGTCTTTTGTCTTAGAACACACAAAAGGAACATAAGGGCATAAAAACCACCTTCTTGGGCCAGACTAGTAGTCCGAGCCTGACATTTTATCTCTGCCAGTTGCAGTAAGAGGTGTTATTTAGGGACAGCACATAAGCCTTGCTAATATTTGCTGTTTGCATTCCTTATAGTTCTGCAGCATTAGCTGTAATTGGATTAAGGATGTTAAAGAGAATGACCCAGCCTGTAGTATTCGTTCATATTGCCATTAATTTTTCTTCTCTTTTGAATTTCCTGGTACAATCTGCCTCCTTAAGCACCTGTGGCAACAGATTACAGATACTTACCATTCGCTGTTGGCGTGGTTTGGGCCGAACCAGCCACTGGGCGAATGACAGCATAAAGAAGTACTTTTACCACTTTTAAACTGACCTCTTACTTATTTCAGTGAGTGCCACTAGTTCTTGTATGACAGAGTTTGGTGCAATACTGAGTTGCTTTTATGATTCTTGATTGTATCATCCTCAGCCTCCAAGCTGAGTTCACATCTTTTTATATTTCTCATGTAAGTTAGATGCTCCACTGCCTTGGTCATTTTCGTTGACCTCTTCCGCATCTTCTGTAACTTCACTACGTTCTTCTGGACATCTGGAGGCAGAACCACGCACTGCACTGAAGAAGAGGGGTGGGCCAAGGTTTTAAATAGTGGCAAAGTGATACCTTCTGTTTTGTTCTCAGTACTTCTCTAGACGATGCCCACTATTTTGTTTGCTTTTTTTGGCTGCCCCTGCACACTAAGCAGATGATTTCATAGAACCATCGAGGATGACTCCAAGATTGCTTTTCTGAGTGATAGCTGCTAGATGTGAATTCAGCACCATGTACGTCTGGTTTAGATTATTTTTCCCTAAATGTATTGCCTTGTGTTTATCTATGTAGAAGCTCATTTGCTACCTTTTTGTGAGCTCCTTCTGGCTTTATTTGCCTTCTGTATGTCAGACCTGGAGAAGTCTAGCATTGCCTTCACTGTGTGGGTGCTCGTTTCTCCAGATCATTGATGAAGTTATTGAATACAACTGGCCCCACCAATCCCCACTGCTAACTCTTCACTATCCTGAAAAATTACCATTATGTTGCGCTCTTTCCTTCCTGCCATTTGAACAGCCATAACTTTTGTGCCCTGTAACCTTTTAGCAAGTCCATAAAATGACCTTTCCTCCAATCCCGTGACAACTTTGTTTTTCCACCACCTTAGGTGTAGAACCTCATCAAAGGCTCGTTGAAAATCTCCATGAAGTAGGTCCACTGGATCTTGTATATCCATTAAGCTTCACAATATAAGGGAAGGTATGTTATCAAGATTTTGTGATTGAAGAAATAAATCCAGAGAAATTCATACTTTTCTGAAACCACAGCCCCGGAGGTGAAGTTGGGAGCGTCTCAGCATTATGGGATCTAGGCACTGACTGATCAGAGGATAATCTAACTGTAGTACATTTGAAAACTGGTTGTAATTTCAAGTGTTGTTAGTCCCAGTATTTAATTCCTGATGAATTCCACTCTTCTCTGCAAATCCAGAACATAAAATAATTTCTAAAAACAACTGCTGCCACTGTATGTTTTAGTTTGTCTACTGAATCTTGCAACAGAGGTGATCAGTGAATCCTTTCTGTGTACTTCTACATTTGTACTTGTTTTATTTCATTCAGAAAATAAGCTGCTCCTAATGCTCAGATCGAAATTTCTTTTGGCTGTCAGTATTGCCATGTCAGTGGCAGTTACATGAGATGAAGAAGGAAACAGAATTAACATTTTTTGGTTTTAGTGCTTGTTGTGCAACAGAAGGTCAAGTCATCAAGTACTGACATAAAATAGCAATGCAAGGAAGAAGAAAAATCTGTGTAGGACAAATACCGGTCACCCTTTCCTCGCTCCCAGTCAGGGTAGTTCATTGTTTTCCAGTGCATACACTTCATTCTAGAAAAATACAGGAACTTCTATTTCATTTTAGAGAACGCCAATTTGTGTACCCACAAACTGTGAATACACGTGTTCATCTGGCTGTGATTGTTAAAGATGTTCTGTAATGACAGATAATTGTGTTTTTCAGCTCTGTATATAAATTAATCTATTTTTACCAAACAGCTTTCTAGATGAATCATGCATTGCAACCTGCTAGATCTATTATAGTTGGATAGTTTAATAATGGTGGTAATCTTTGAATTAAAAATGACATGGATTTTAAGCGATAGGCATACTTTTCTTGTCTGATATGTAAATGTTTCATTGTTGATAATTTCAGTACATGTATCAGTTGCAGAAAAAATATTTTTTCAAGACAGCTGTTCAGAACTTACGAAGCTATTAGTGGACTGGAGTTTTTTTGCAAGAGCAGAGCAGGTCTGAGCTTACATTAAGGTCTCTCCATACCATCGCAGCAGTGTGCACGAGACGTGAGTGAACATGGTGCAGTGGTACCATGCAGTGGGTGTTAACGAACGCTGGAGTGCTGCAAAAAGTAAGTTTGTATTTTGGGGCTAATGGAGCACAAATACGACTAAAGAGACCCATTACACATAGAACCATAGAATGGTTTGGGTTGGAAGGGACCTTAAAGACCATCTAGTCCCACCCCCCTGCCCTGGGCAGGGACCCCTCCCACCAGCCCAGGTTGCTCCAAGCCCCGTCCAACCTGGCCTTGAACACCTCCAGGGATGGGGCAGCCACAGCTTCTCGGGGCAACCTGCCCCAGGGGCTCACCACCCGCACAGTCAAGAATTGCTTCCCGATATCTAACCTAAATCTCCCCTCTTTCCGTGTCAAACCGTTCCCC